GGGCGATGGCCTCCAAACTAGAAGGGCGATGGCCTCCAAACTAGAAGGGCGATGGCCTCGTAAAAGAAAATGAGTGCAATGAATTTTCTGCATGAAAAGAAACTGTGGCAACAGGGGGGGGATGGTGGATGCACGGAGTGCTCTGCCATTTTGGCTCAAGTGAGCCCCCCTCCTTGTTGCCCTTCTTCTTTGATTTTGCCATGGTCGTGGGCTGCTGCTGGTGGTTCCTCGCGGCCGCGTTGGGGCCAAGCGGGGGGGCCTATGACATTGGCGAGGGCACGAAGGAGAAGGTGGAGTTGGAGGGGAGCCAGCGGTCCGGAGAAGTTGGGAATGCCAATCTCACACTCGATGGAGTCCGCGTGAAGGAGGTGATCCTCGATTGGAATGGGTATACTGCCGGGAGTGACCGTGGTAGGCCAAGAACCGCGGGCGGCAAGATCGAAGAGAGGATCCCAATGGAAGATGACTGGTGTGATCAAGTAGCTGTATCAACCCAGGAAGGGTTGGGTTTGGAAAGAAAGGCGGTGGAGATTCAGCAGGCTTTCTACAGAGGCACCAAGTTCGACCTAGTGATGAAGGTACTGAGGGTAGCGGTCGATGAGAGAGAGGAGGTCAAAGCGGAGGAAGAGGTCGAGGTGAACCCGGCTAACGATACACCCGAAAGGAGGAGAAAGGGATGGAGGTCAGGCAAGAGCCGGATGTGGAAAGGTTTTATGCAGAGGCGGAGACGAAAGAGCCCGAGAATCAGAAGGATGCTGACGTTGGTTGGGGTCCAAATCGGTGGTCTGGTATTGATCGCATTTTGGAACCAACATTACGAAGCAGGGCGGAAGTGCAATCAGGGGGAATTGCAGGAGGTACTAGAGCTGATTTGGTGCTCGGGTAACGGCAAGGCCAAACGATGCGGAGGCCTGGAAGAATCAAGCCGGGGCACCCCGGTAAGAGAAGGAGCACAATCGGGTCGAGAGCGACCGGATTCATCGGGAGAAAAGGATGAAAGCAGTTTGGAGCGGAAGGAAAAGGGAGAGGACGAGGACATGCAGGGGGACCAGGCCCAGAAGATCACCCTGAAGGAATATCTGATGGAGAGGAAGTTTGTGTTCGTGCATTTCTTAGCCGAGGAGGGCGACGACAGACTGATGGAAGAAATGCGAAGGGAAGGGGAGAAGAAAGGGCTGTGCCTCATGAATGTGGCAATACCCGCAAGAACGGGTGACGTAGCCGTCTGGGATGGCTGGCTAAGGTTAGCGAAGGAAGGGCATGTGGATGGTGTCTATTGCGCACCACGGTCGCAAACGTACCAAGTGAAGTTCGCAGAAGACGGAGCAATACATGAATGGAGGACGCAGGAACATCCGAAGGGAGCACCATCGCTGACGGCGGAAGAGAAGGATCGGTGCGAACAGGAAGATAAGATGTGGAGGATGGCGATCAAGTATGCGGAGGCAGTGAAGGGAGGAAGCGGAACCGAGGAATTCAAGGGTGCAGCGGTCGTTTGTCATCCGAGCGAGGAAGAGTGGGACTGGTCGCCACAGGGGTTTGAAGAAGGATGGAGGGAAGAAGGGGCACAGCACACTATGTTCCATTGGTGTGCCTACCAGATCGAGGAGGAGAAAGGGAGGAGGTTCTGGAAGAGGATGAAAATCAAGGGAGTGTTGCACGGGTTGAACTCCTTTGGGCGGGAGTGCAACTGTGGCACGAAGGGACACAAAGTGGCAAACACCCTACAAAGGTTCAGAACAGTTCAACAACTGCCAAGGGAAGCCGCTAGCGAGCTGGCTAAGCGGTTTACGGAGCACATGCTGTGGTTGGCCGAAGCGGAAGTGAGGAGTGATAAGATGAAGAAAAGGGGACACCACTACCGAGGTTGGGAAGCTGGAAAGGAACTAGGTTCAAAGAAGGAGAAACATCAAAAGGTGGAACTAAAGGAGCGAGGCCAAGGTAGCGAACGGCAAGAAGGACGGGCACCCCCCATCGGGGGTTTGAAGGACGCGCAGGAAGCAGTGGCGCGGTGTGAGGGGCTACGAACCGTCGGAAGGAGGTTGAGGGGTGCTTGGACAGGCTTTGTAGGACGAGAGAATGGTGCCCTGCTGATCGCCACCACGTATGGCTCATGGGCTCATCAACTGTCGAGTGCAACGGTAAACAAGTGGATGAAAGAGCTGAAGCGTGTAGTGGGCGCAGCGGGGCGCAGTTTGGTCCAGGAGCCGTCGAAGTGGCGAAAGGAATCCCCATGGGCCTATGAGGTGATCCAGGCTTGGGCGACGAAGGCGGAAGACCCGGATAGAGGGATTGTGGAATGGGCGCATGCCGGCGCCCCGCTGGGGCTCAGGCTCCCGGTCCCCGAGTCGAACGTCTTCAAGCAAGGGGATCCCATAGTCGCAGAGCTGGTCGCGTGGGAAGAGTGGGACAGGGCAGATGGAGGTGTGTTGTCCTTCCACAGGAGTGCAGAGGACATGCCGCACGAGACCCTGGAAGCCTTGGTGCCGCTCGAGGTGGACGCGATGGTGCTGCGCGTGGAGAAGGAAGAACTCGCGGGGCGCGGGTGGCCCACATCACATCCTGCTCGGTTAGAGATACGGGAGGAAAAGGTGAGACAAGATTTGTCAAGGTAGGATCCTTCACGGAGACGGTAGATTGGGCCACGACCGGAGATGTGGTGGTTGCTTTGAAGAAGATAACACGAGCAGCGAAGGACAAGAAGGAGAATGACACATCAGTCGAACTGCTGAGGATAGAGGTCGCGAGGCCACTGGAACACTTGGGACCAATGGAGGGTGAAGCGTCCCAATCGGTCTTCATGGGCCCTGGACAGCAGTTCTATGTAGCTCGAACCCTCATGCCAGGCATGAAGGCAGCGGCGCTACTGTGGGGGCGTTGGATGGCCCTCATAGCAAGGCTGCGACAAGGCATGTTCGAGGAGGAGGAGCTGGTCGTGGTAGTACTCCCCAAGAAAGTGATCCTGGTGATGCAGGGCGACCAAGTTCGAAGGGACCAGATGGCCGCATTGGTGTTGACGTCCCTGACGGCTTTGGGATTGAACATCCAGTGGGGCCGAGGCAAACGTGGACGGGACATCCTCGTCGACGGGGCGAGTCTGACCAAGACACAGCTGGGAGGAGAAGTGGTCCAGCTGGCATGGCCCACACAGAAGTTCGTACAGTTCCAAGAATTACTGGAAGCCCAGGACCAGGCACCAGAAGTGGTGGAAGTCATGGGCCAGCACCTGTTCGAGATCGGACGCGAGCTGCACCGCCGGTACCCAAGTAGCAGGGAGATGTACTTGCTCATGGGATGCGTGTGGCTGCGCTGGTCAGAATTAGAGGAACGGGAAAGGAAGGAGGCCAGGGCGCTGAAGGAAGACTGGGGCCTCCTGAAGGCGAAAGTGGTGCAGGGAATGGTTGAGAGCGAGCATCGATTCGCCACAGAAGCGCGTCAACTTGGGTGTGACGCCGGCGAAGGTGAGAGTTCGGCTCTATCTGGAAGAGTTCAAGGTGACAGCTGTGCTGCAGACGGGCACAAGGCTGGCTCGAGTGCTGGTGACGCACACCAAAGCATCAGAGTGGGCCAGGCTGGGTTGGCCGCGAAGGCAAGAGGTCGGATGGAGCTCGAAGGTGTGGCTGGCCTTGCTCATAACGCTGAAGCATTGGCCTGCGGCCCTGCGGCTGGTTGCCCCGACCTTCTTGATCCAGAGGGAGCAGTTCCAGGCTTGGTCGAAGATGGCCACGGGCCAGAGCGCTCACACGGACTTGTTCCTGCGGCAGGAGTGGCAGGTACAGCTGGTTCGCCTGAGCCTCGACGGCTGCAAAGTGGAGGAGGACACAACAGGTGAGCCGCGAGACGACCGGGTAGCGGACGCGGAACCAGGGGCGAACCTGGGTGGCGGGCTACTGGTTGAAGGGGTCCCGGACAGGACCGAAGGATGGACCTTCCTGTCACCACCGCAGTGGCCTTCAGGTCCCATGGAAGTGCTGCCAAAGGAATTTCACGATCGGTGCCGGCTGAACCCGTAAAGCGGGCGAGCAAGGACAAGGGCACTATGGAAGGTGTAAGGAAAAAGGGAGCACCGTGAAGGAGAAGGGTTCGGCCGTAAACCCCACACGGAGTGGGGCGAAAAGGCCGGGGTCGCAGGGCGGGCGACGGGAGGTCGAGTTTGGAACCTCGGACGGGAACTCCTCCAGGATAGGAGTGGAGATGCCCGCAGGTAGGTGCCAACTACCCGTCGAGCCGCCGCGTCCACCCTTCGTCGCTCGACGCGGGGGGGGGGTTGGACCTCAACTACCCGAATCTCAGTCGCCCGCACGGGCGTTGGAAGGTCGCTCGCCTTCGTTCGCCGCTTTTCGGCACTCGTTTCGTTCGCCGTCTCGTTCGTGGGCGCTCATGTGACAGGTCCCGTTGATTGACCTGCCTTGGCTCAACGAGCACCGACCTACCTGCCATGCTAGATGGGCGGACCAGCACTTATGGGGCTGGGCGCGGAGAACTCCATGGAGGTGGCGAAGGGCGGACCAG